GGGGCGGGGTGGCTCCAAAATTGGGTGGGATCAGGGCTGAGGGATTCCCTGTGCCTCCCACCTCCGCTTCCGGAGGTAGAAGAGGGGGTTCCCCCTTTTTCTAATACACCGGGCGCTTAATTTTTAATGGCTATTTGAATATATTTTGATATCTTTTGATAGGCTTGGCACTATTTCGACCTATTTCAATGTTTTAACTGATTTGCATCTGTTTAAAATGTATTTTTAAGTACACTTTAAATACACTTTTAAATAGACTTTAAATTCCTTTAAATCTACTTTAAATCTATTTTAAATTTTCTTCAATCTACTTTAAATCTATTTTAAATCTCCTTTAACCTACTTTAAATCCACCTTAAATCTACTTTAAATCCACTTTAAATCTACCTTAAATCTACCTTAAATCTACCTTAAATCTACCTTAAATCTACCTTAAATCTACCTTAAATCTACCTTAAATCTACCTTAAATCTACTTCAAATCTATTTTAAATCTACCTTAAGTCCACTCTAAATCTACCTGCAATCCACTTTAAATCCAGTCCACTTTAAATCCACTTTAAATCCAGCTTGAATGTACTTTAAATCTACCTTGAATGTACTTTAAATCCACTTTAAATCTACTTTAAACCCACTTTAAATCGACTTTAAATCCACCTTAAATCTGCTCTAAATCCACCTTAAATCTGCTCTAAATCCACCTTAAATCTACTTTAAATCCACTTTAAATCCACCTTGAATCCACTTAAATCCACCTTGAATCCACCTTAAATCCACCTTGAATCCACCTTAAATCCACCTTGAATCCACCTTAAATCCAGTTCAAACCTTTGATGCCCGTTGTCCTTCTAAATCCCTTTCCCCATCCCCGTTCCTCCAGAAACGCCCACATTTTGTAACGACCAAACCCGGACAAACGCGGGGGGGATTCCCCCCAAACCGCCCGCGGCGATGCCAGGGCCAGAAATCCGGGAATTCAACGGGAATCTCCATTTCCCATGGCCGGGGGGGCAACAATTCCGGGTGGGAAAACAACCCCGGCCAAATCCCCGAAGGTTTCAGCCCTGTTTCACGTGGGCTTAACCACCAGCTCCGGGCTGGGCACAAGCAGGGGGCAGGAGATCCCCTCCCTGGTCTTAGGCCGGCCTAAAGCGGCTGGGTAAAGCCAGACCTATCTACCCCAGAGGGGTTTAGGAGGACGAAGAACAACCTCGCTCAGGTTTAAATCCCGCAGCGCCACCCCGTTAAACGACTTCACCACCCCAAAGATCTCCCAGACCCCCGCTGCGTCCCAGCGAGTTCAGCTCAGCACTAGAAATAAGCAGGGACACAGGATTAAAGCTTGGCTTAGCTCATCCGCAGGGATATCTGGAACGCCGCGGGTCTTGCACAGCCGCCCGGGCTGGCTGCTGGGGTCAGCAGGGGAGGAGCCGGCAGGTTTAGGAGGAGCGGGGAGTTTTAGGAGGAGCTGGCAGGGTTAGGGGGAGGGGGGGGGGGGTTTGGAGATGCAGGCAGGGT